CAGAAATGGCATCCTGATAAACAGAAGAACGAAGATGCTGCTACTTCAAAGTTTCAAGAAATAAATGAAGCTTATCAGGGTAAAATGGTTTTTCCTCAATTAGCAGTTATTGTTTTTTTTTTATTGAACTTTTCACTTCTTATCGTTCGCCGTTAGTCGCAGCCTTCAAGAAATGAGCTTCTGAGAACTTAGAATGGCCCAAGGAGTAACTTGTATTTTTATTTTAACTGATAAAAGAACTTGAAAAAAAAAAATAGTTAAACTTGTAAAGACCCGGGAAATACAGCGTGCGGGACTACTATATATAATGGCTTCAATTTGGTCAAGTGAAGATGATCATATACATTTGACAATTGTGTTGCAGTTAAAGACTTGTATCGAGTCGTGATATAGTAGGAAAATTCATATGTTGAAGGAATGTCAGCTGGGATTTGTTACTTTGATGTGTAGCTAAAAGATTATTTAATATGGATTTACTTTTGTAATTTTGGAGGAAGCGATATAAAGTTGTGTAGTATGGGGTAAATTTCAATCTTTTAGCTTATCATTGTCTAAAGGTATCTTACATGGATTCTTACAAACCTTTTTTCCTGAAAAAATCAGTATTGATTGATCCTCTAAAACGGCACGAATATGACAAGAAAGGGATGCTTTATTCATATGATGGCAATATAGCGGTGAGCCACATTTTCTTTTGTTTTTCAACTCCCATTTAAAATTTAAAAGTTCTGTTTTAACTCTTTTGCAGTTCATTAGGATACCCCATAAATATATGAATTAATAAAAGATATCACGGGATGCAGGAATACCTCAATCGCTACAAGAGCCTCATTCTAACATGCAATGGCCTCGGCATGAAATGCTCTATATGGTGATATGTCTTTTTCTAAATGTGTAAGGTACATTTTGGTAGCCTTCATTGGATATGCAGCTGGTGTGTTATATTGTTCATTTGAGCTTTGAAATATCTGAAACTTTTGGCAGATGGTATTTTAGGCCATGTAGAAGGGGGGCTAAAGCTGAGAGGCGTTTTTTGTGCTTCGTGTGGTTGTACATTCCGTGATCACCAAATTTGGAGACTTTTTGTTATATGATACATGGCTTAGGCTCTTGTAGTCGTACATTATGTGATCACCAAATTTGGAGACCTTTTGTTATATGACACATGGCCTAGGGCTGCAAACGAAGCGAGCAGCTTGCGAGCGCTCAAGCTCGAGTTTGACCGAACTCGAGTCGAGCTCGGGCATAGATTTTAGAAGGTCTTGAGCCGCTCGCGAGCGGCTGGAGATATGTAATAAGTTACTAAAGCAGCCTTTACATATAAATATTACAATATTTTATATATATACTTAATGATAATTTTACTTAAATGTGAGCTGAACTCGAGCCGCAATCTATCGAGCGTTTTGATTTCAATCAATATCAAGCCGAGCTCGAGCAATTGTCTTCTTTTGTCGAGTCGATCTCGAGAAATTGAGCTCGAGCAGGTAAAAAAAAATATCAATCTTGGTCAATGCTCGGCTCGACTCGGCTCGAGCAGGTAAATATTGGGAAAAGCGCTTGGAACGAAATAATAATTGATTAGAAAAAATTGTTGATTCATTTTTAACAGGATGCAAGAGTTTTGCTGCACAAGTACTCATAAACAGGGGTAAAAGATGGATTTGGGCGCACAAGTACTCATAATCAACCTTTATAGAGCACACACATTCAAATTATCCCAACTATTTTTAACAAATGAATGAACAGGAAGATTCAATGTTTGAATAATGCCACAACTTTCCTATTATCACACAAAATTCTTAAATTTGGAACCACCTAAAAAAAGCCTTACATTACAAAACAAAATTTCAGTATATTAGCTATTTACTATCTTCATCAAGAGATTGACTGAGGACAACAAACGGGTTCATCATTGTTCGGGCAGTTCTCTTCCACTCCACACAGATGGATTGAGCGCTCGATAAATCTGCCTTTTGACTCATTTCTCAAAACCAAACTGCACTTTCTAAATGTCTGTACACTAACATGAAGCTGAAAATCCACTCCGAACAAAAACTTCAGCTCCAACTTGTTCAGTTCTGATGTGGTGACACCTCCAACTCTCGCGTAATATGCATTATTGAAGAACCTGAAAAGAAAAAAAAAATGATATGTTTGAATAACAATGATAAAAGAGCATATAAAATGGTCTGCATAATTTTACATAAAAACCTCACTAGTTATTGTGCCCAAAAAAACAACTTTATCTCTTGAACACTACAAAATGTCTCAAAATGTCACTTGAATCCCAATTGAATACACCCCCCTTAATCACCTAAATCAAATTTTTTTTTGAAATGAGATCATTCTAATATGAAAATTTGGTTATACTACTGTTATAGATAAATATCAAATTACAACAAAATCAGGGTTAAACAGGGTAAAAAACATAATTGATTGATCACATATATTCGTCGTAATACTGCCTTTAAAATTTTCAAACTTTTACAAAAAAATTTGAAAAATAAAAAATGAGGGGAAAATTAACTACAAATCAATTAATCTACAACTAGAATGACCTTGATTAACCTGTTATCCAGAATAATGACATAAACATAAACAGGCTATATATCATCAAGAAGTGTTTAAAATAAACTTACTTATCATCCATAAATTTTGCTGCCACCATGACACTGGTAATAAGAAGGCGGTGGATATTGCGAGAAGTCAAGCATAAGTTTGCCCGTTGAACAAATCTGTCCAAATATATATATGCAATAATAAAGCAAGACGAACTGCAGCACGAATACTTGAAAATGCGGTCGATATATTGCTGAATGCTAAGAGAAGGTTCTCTTAAGCCATGGAATACTGTGACAAAATCTCTGGTTTGTGAAGCTTCGAGCAATCTCTCGTTTTTCTGAACAGACCTCTCCAAGATTGTCGAAAGAAGGGATAAAACACGGGGCTTGCCAAAGTAGTCTTTGCTTGAAATCTCTGTTTCAATCGTTGAAGTTTCCATTTTCGAGCTCCTCTTGAGAGACAAGTGTCAAATTTTCTTTTTTTCAATAAATGCTGCGAAAGATAGATAGAAAGTATTTAGCACATCAGTTTTTCTTCCGTCAAAAGAAGTAAAAATTATTACTTATGGAAAGCAATTTGGGAACATTTTTTTCAATAGGAAATTATATTTGCTTGCATTAGAAATGATTAGCTTCTGAAGTCTAATTCTAACAATAGCAATCAACAGGCAATATAGGGGATTTTGTGCGGTATATGGGCTTTACCTTAGATGCTCCCAAAAAATGGATTTATGCTTCCCACTATAGGGGCACGTGCAACAAACGAATTTTCCGTTTTCTTTTTTCTTCTTTCACAGTTTATTAGTAAACCGAAAAAATAAAGAAAGACCAAAAATGAAGGTAATTTAAACATGTGCCCTCTCATAGTGGGATCCATCTTTCGAGCATCTAATTGTTGGGCCACATAGACAGTTCGATAGACCCTTGATTGCAGTAAAAGAAAAAAAAATATTATGAAGCACAACTAGTTTTTGCCTCACAAGTTCATTTGATGTGCAAGAATTACAAGGAGAGATGGAACCCAACCACACAAGAATTATGCAAAATACATAACATTTAACAATTATAACTTACAAATTCGGTATATTGAAAAAGGAAGGTCCCATACACATAATGTGGGCATTTGACTTTTTCATCAATCTTCGGTGTTTCACTACTTACACCGAGAAATTATTCGATAAAAGACAAGATCCTGAATACTGTGAATCACTCACATTCCATTTTTAAGTCAAAAGCTTCTGACAAACTAATCTTACCTCTAATGATAGATACAAGTGTTTTGAGTTCAAAATTTATCTTTCGCAAAGATGAAGTTATTGAAGCAGCCTATCTCGAATCACACCATAAATTATCAATAAGTACCACAGAGATATTGATCGGTTTCAGTACTTATCTTAACCCCTTCAAAGACTTAACTAACTCAACCACTACTTGAATCACTCTTATGTATCTTTCTTCGTTCTTTCCACTCTTTTAACGGTATAAATCCTAATTAAATTAACAAAACCAGTTGAAAAACTGCATGATCTGCTAAAACAAAGAGCAAACCTATGTTGCCCAGACTATGTTGCCCAGCATAAATCCCACATTCAACAACAGAAACTCAACAAAACAGATAAAATCATAGTTTTTGAAGACAAATCAAAGAAGCCCATTTCAACTTCTAGCAAATCGAGAAACGAAGCTGAAAAACTTTTTTCCTTCCATTAATATAAAAAAAACATCATTTTTTTTTTGGTACAGGGACCTTCCGGTTTCCGGATCTAAAGAGGAACCAACTAATCCGGAATCGAGCAGGATAGGACCACAAGGGCTGCAAAGCTCTCCCTCGAGAAACATCATTTTAAAGATAAATTCAATAAACTGCATGAAATTGAACCCCAAAAGCCGCCGTACTTACTCCAAATTCTTGAACGATCTGTGGCCCTAATCTGAACTTCCGTTTTTGCATCACCAGAACAATATCTCACTATCATGAATCATCGAACACAGAGCCACTTCAGTATAATTTGAGAAGAAATTGAATGAAGAAGAAGTAAGAAATAATAGGCTGTCCACCTCTAGATTGATTGATTGGGGCTGTGTTTTAGGTCACCGCAGATGGAAAATCGAAATAACCCCACTTCTCTTTGTCTTCTCTTTCCGCCACTAAACGCGTGTGAATGATTGAATGTAAGTGTATTTGTATATATATAATTCTTTTCCTACTCTGTGTACGCTTTGGTAGTTCTTCTCCTTTGTCGCACTCACTGTGTGTGGTATCTGCCGGTGGATTTTTTATTTTATTTCTTTCTTTTATCCTTTTCCTTTTCCTGTTAGTTCTGCGTCCCATTACGGAATCATATGGGTACACATGAAATTGGTATATGATAAATAATCAGTTAAAACACTCGAAGGGATGGTTTCGTAATGTGACCATAAAATTTGTTGTGTTATTAGAATATTAGTTTAGGATTTGTAGAGATTTTGAAAATATTTGTGTATATAATTTAAGATTTTACTTTATTTTTTAAATTTAAGGTATTTAATTAACTTGTTTAAAAAAACGATAACCTTGTTTGGCGATCAGCGGATAGCGGATTATATTAGCTGATTTGACCAGCGGATTGCATTAACGGTTTTTAAATAAATGTTTGGTAAATAGCTAAAAATTTATAGCTGTTTGACATTGCAAATTACCAATAAGAACATTTTATTATTTAGGGTGTATTCTTTTAATAATAATGTGTTAAAACATTTAATATCTTTAGTTGGTAATTTATAAATATATATTTTTAAAAAAAAAATACTAAGACTTGATTAAGAAGTTATGAATTTTACATTTTTTTAGATAAATTAATCATATGAAGACATATTATTATTTATTGCACCATAAATCAATGTAGATTGTAAAATAAATAATACAAATTAAAAAGTTCCAAATTAAAATAGTAGATTGTGAATCCTCTATCCTTAAAAAGCTCCGATGTGAGAAGTTAAATTTATTTTACACTGGGATTTGCCAAAAAAAAAAAAAAATAATAATAATAATAATAACTCGTTTAGATTTCAAATTCTATTTACATATACCAAATCCCACTTTTAGACTTGATTTATAAAGATTTAACTGAACTCACATAATCTAGAAATGTATTTTATTTAGAAAAAAAAAATAATTAAGATGTTATTTAAGATTTTAAATGTATACAAATGAAAGGATAGTTCTTGTGCCTTTTAACTACAATTGGAATTTGGAAAAGCGTAAAATTTTTATGTGTTTTAATTTTGTGTTTCATATCGAGATAAAGGGTCTTACCTTTCCAACTAAACAAAATTCAATTATTCTGTTAGGTTGTTACCAAAGAAGACACATAGTAGATGAATGAGAGATGGAAAATGAGTTTAGTGGTGATTAGTACGAATCCAACCGTGCGATGCACGGGTAAGAGATGTTTATTACATTAATATTAATAAATTAAAAATTTTAATATTATCTGAAATTTAAATTGTACAAAATTACATAGAACATGTTTATTTAAAATTAGTACACAACCCGACAACGAATTCCAGCTTGATGGTAAGACGTTTCACCTATTATAGGTCATGGGTCTCAATAGGAGAACTGGGAACACTATTGATACTTCTTAAGATGAAAAAAAATAGTACATAACCTCTACGGTGCATTAATTGATAATAAAATATATTATATTAATTTCATAATAAGTGTCATTTTTAAATTTTTATTCAAAAATTCAATTTAAATACAATATGATTCCATAAAATAATTATTTTGGTAAAATTATATCATATATTTAAAAATTTATATTTATATGAATAACAAGTAAAATTCACATTAACTAATAAAATTGAATCACCATAAAGCATAACTACAAATTCTTAATTACCATGTAAGAGACGGATGAAATCTGATAAAAAGCAATTGGGCGGCATGAAATCACACAGTAGCTATAAAGATTGAGGGGGTGACTGTTTACAAATATTTCACCTCAAATATTTTCAACTCAAAAACTAACTCAACTTTAATGCAACTCCACTATCTTTAATATTATTCATATAATTAAATAATACAAACCGATCATTCTTACACATCATATCAACTTTAATTCACTATTCATCTACTCACATTAACTACCAATCATTTCCAATCATTTATCTCCTACTTTATATCAAATCACTTTTAATCATTTTATTTTAAATATTATTTTAATATATTTTTTAAATCTCACTAATAATTAACCACACTACTTTTTCAACTTTAACCATAGTTAACCAAAATGAAATATTTTGGATGAAATATTTTATAAACAATCATGCTATGAATATTTTATAATGAGTTACAACTAATCCCACATATTAAGAGAAACATTTAATGCTTTCCCATTTTACTGAATAAAAAAATTCAAAAACATACCCAAATTGGTAAGTATTTAATGCTAACAAACTTTGACTAAGAATTTGACTTTCCGTTTTTAAAAAAAAGGTTATTTTTTTTATATAAGTATAGGTTATATCATAATTATTGAGGCAAAAAAATTTGATTTTCTAGTACTACAATGAAATAGTAAGAAAAAAAAGTGATCTCTAAAGTAGAGTAAAATGAAAAACGTTACCAATGTCAACAAAGTGGCTGTAGTTTAGTGGTAAGAATTCCACGTTGTGGCCGTGGAGACCTGGGCTCGAATCCCAGCAGCCACATTGTAGTATTTTTTTGGTGTTGGTTCTTATTCAACACTTTCATATTTTTCAATTTACACCGTCCATAGTATCTTTCATTTTTTCATATTTTCTCCAAACAAAATTTTGTAAGTCATTTTCTAACCACTAATCACACCATTTTTGTTAAATGCCATATAAAATCCATTTTCCATTACAAGATCATCTTATATGGAGTGTGTCTCCTTCAAATTGATTTCAAACTTGAAACTCAAATTCCACATTATAGTTCAAAAACACACATAATCAAAGTCATTGGCAAACAAAACATGTTTGATCAAAGGCATTAACAAAAACACAAATTGATAGAACACAAATTCAAACTCAACAGACATCGGTTTTCAGGCCTTTCTTTTCTTGTGTGACCTCTTCTTTTCCACCGGATCGTCAACAGTCTGAGGCTGCAAACTCGCATTGCCGATAGTACCTTTTTCCGAACCAGCCACGAATATCACTTCCTTTAGAGCCCCCATGCCATCAATCATCTTTTGAAACTGCACCAAAAAAAAAAGGAAAAGACATAAAAACGGGAGAAAGATTGGGTGGGTTGTGGGGAAAAGAGTGGTGTTACATCAAGTTTACCATTAACTGCTTCAAGTAAAATATTGAGAATTATTACGAAAGTTACGAACAAGGAAATGAAATTATAATGGAGAAAAGCTAACTGTGGCTTCTAAAGTGATGCTCGGCGTAAAACCAAAGTTGTAAGCAGGCTCAGCCGCTCATGGTTTACGAAGATGTGTAGAAAGTTAATATTTGGTTTGCAATCAGCATTTGTCATGCATGAAAAACATACAGTTCACTAGTTACAAGCGGGGTTTTACTGAAAATATGCAAAACTCGCACATTGATCATGAGCTCGTATCAAGTTAATATCATATATACTATTACACAAATGCATATTAATAAACCAAAAACAGAAATGTAGTCTATAATACTTACAGCTGCAACTTGTCCCTCAGCAAACTCCAACTTCCTAACCAGCTCATATTTCTCCTTTGTCAAAGCATCAACCTAACAAAAAGAAAGAAATACGATCGATTAATATATTTTATACCACTAAAAAAAACGAAGCAAAACTCCAACACACATCAATCGTACCCTTTTCTGCAACTTTAAGTACAAGCTTTTGTAGCGGATATCAGGAGAGGGATCCTCATTAGGCCTTTCAAACACCTGTTTGACATTCTAATCAGGCACCAGCTGAATATCGTAAGAACTAATCATGAGATCAACCGACAAAGAAAGCCCCCCGTTATCTATCGAGATCACAAACACTCCCAATGACATTAGTTTCCCTCATACAAACTAGTTTTAGGCTAATTAACTACCTATGGAGTTGTCTGAATATTTAAGGGTAACTTTAAAAGCAAAGATCAAGATTTCGAAAAACCAAAATATTACAACCTTATGCTTGAACACATCCACGGCCTGTACGAGATAGCTAACCATTTCATTCAAGCTTCTCTCGTTCATCTCCTTCGGGGGACCATTACCAACCTGCTCGACCGGAGTCTCGACTTCCGAGCTCCTTTCCTTGGCAACCTGCACAGGACTAGTAACTTTCTCAATCTGTGGCAGTTCTTCTTCTCTTTCGATTTCATCTAAATCGACATGTTCGACAATGGGTTCGACCCCTTCGCTCCTAGCCGAGCTCTTGAGACGTCCGGATCTTCTGTACACAATTTTTACAGTATTCTTACCACCCTCAGCAGTTGGGTTCTCAGTTGAGATTTTCTCCTACCCATTTGAAGCAGAATATGAGAAAATTTCCGGTTAAAGGTTCATCTATTGTTACAGGCTATTATAGTAAGTCGTTGTTTAAGGCGATTACACAAGTAAAACAGAGTTAACGAATCAAAAACCTCGTCGGCTGCCGCCGCGCTGCTCTTCGCAAGAGTCTTCCGCTTCCTACCCATTCTTCGTCTTCGTCTTCGTCTTTTTTCCAAAGGGTAGAAAAAGCAGGAGAATGTACTAATTAGCCTGCTTTTATTTAAAAAAAAAAAAAAATCACGCACAGTACAGAGAGTAGCGCTGGAGACGAAGAGGCTTTCTTGGGTTGTCCCCTTTATAAGGAAAATGTAGAAAATTCGTGGGTTACTGCAAATAATCAGCCCAAATTGAATTATGAAATGAGAATCCGACCGCGTATGTTTTAGCGAGCTAAATGAAATGAATCACAGCCGTCAATTCAAATGGCATGGACCCGCTATACGACATGACCATTTTTATCTTGCAAGACTTTTTTCACATTGGTAATGCAAATCGACGAGCGGAATTGATTCAATTGGGCATACAAATCAAGTGGAGGTGTATTAATTCCTTTATTTAATGTTATATAATAGGGATTACGTTCGATTTGTAACCGTTTGGGATAATTTCGTAACGGAAGTGTAGCATCTCTAAATATTTTATTAAGGGTATGTTTGGTATGACATATAAGCTAGCTTATAGCTTATTTGATTAGCTTATAAGCTTCCTGTATTAAATAAGCACTGTTTGGTAGGACGAGCTTATTTAAAAAGCTCGAGCTTATTTGATAAGCTTGTTTAGGTAGCGTTTCAAAATAAGCTCGTTGAATTTTTTATTTCAGCTAGCTTATAAGCTACTTTTACCAAACACTTTTATCATATAAGCTAGCTTATAAGCTATAAGTCATAAGCTATAAGCTATAAGCTAGCTTATCACATATAAGCTATAAGCTAGCTTATCAGCTATCAGCTAGCTTATCAGCTAGTTTTACCAAACACACCCTAAGTTGTCAAGTACTACTGATTAAGATTTTAACATTTAATTATATTTTTTATTATTATTTTAAAATGTTTTAGAGTGTATTTGTTTTGAATTTCTAATGAGATTTTAGAAATTCTAGTATATTTAACTTACATTTTTTAAGACTTTTAAAAGTTATAAAGATTTATTTGAAATTTTAAAAAATGTTAACAATCTGTGCTATTTAACTTCACGCTATTATATATTAAGATTTTACAAAATTTTCTGAAACTTTAAACACAAACTACATATGTCCAATATCACTTACACCTTTAAACTTATGGTTTCTAAAGATTTCACTAAGATTAGCAAATCTTAAAAGTTTTTGATTTTTTTTTTTAAGTTTAAAACAAAATTCCAAATAAATACACCTCCTTAGTTGTAACTAGGGATTACGAAAAATTGAATTGAAATCACTCTAAATCGAAAAATAATTGTTGATTGTTTGACTTTCTCATAACCCCACCAAATAAGAAAAACAATTGTTACTGTAGACATCGAAATTTTAATATTTTATTAATTAATATCTTTATTTATTTTTGGGACATAAATCCAAGATAAATAAGATATTTAATTAATAAAGTAAGTGTTTCTTGTTCACCAAGTCAAATCTTAGGATAAGAAAAAAGATTATATCAAATCTTAGGATAAAGAAAGAGATTATATCAAATCAAGAAGGACCAATCCAATTGATGTATTCTTTTCCAAGACTCTCTTTCCTACACCTATAAATAGGCCTCTCCTCAATCCCAAAAATCACACCTCAAACACCTCAAAAATATCAAACACATCTCAAAAATCAAAGTCTCAAATTCAAGCGCTCTCAAGAATCCTCTTGAAGATTTGAAGAAGTTCTTGAAGAACCGTCTGAGGTCCGTTCAATGAAGAAGAAGGCCAAGAAGAAGAAAAAAAGGCGGCGACTCTTCCTCAAGAAGTAAAGAGACGACTTTCACGCTTCTCAAGTCAATCCAAGAATATCAATGACGTTCAAGCGACATTCAAGCCGCGTTCGTTGAGAAGTTCAACCAATATACCGTTTGATTTGGGAAAAAGCTATCAAACCCCCGAATCAACGTTATTCAAGTCAGAGTCCCTCTTTCAAGAAGATCAAAGAATCAAGTCTTCTAAGAAGTCATATTCAATCAAGTCAAGACTAACATCTAATACGGGAATAAGTCATTCGACCCCCAAATTAATGTTAGAGAAATTCAAGACCAAGCCTGAAGGAGATTCATTCGTCAAATCCATCTTTGAAGGTCTCAGTCCCAAACTCATGAAAAGAAGAATCAGAGGAAATAAATAGAGATTGTACCCGCATATCATTTGATCGAAATATATTCAAGTTGTACATAAAGTTTTATGTCTTTCATAAAATTTGTTGTTACAAATTTGGCACGCCCAGTGGGACTTTCTCTACCTCTCATCTCTTCTCTCCAAATCAAGTTCGAAGATCTTTGAAGATGCATGAAGACTTCTTTGAAGAAAATGTACAAGGGGCAATGAAGAATGATGTCTTTCCAAGCCATGAAGCGTGGGAGCATTTCACATAAAGAGCTCCATCAAATATTCAAATGCTCCTTGATGTGAGCCTAAACTATCTACATATTCCAATGCTCCTTGATACGAACTTAAACTATCTACATATTCAAATGCTCTTTGATACGAGCCTAAACTATCTACAAATACAATGCTCCTTGATACGAGCCTAAACCATCTACATATTCAAATGCTCTTTGATACAAGCTTAAACTATCTATAATGCTCCTTGATACGAGCTTAAACTATCTACATATGCTCCTTGATATGAGCTTAAACTATCCACATATTCAAATGCTCCTTGACACGAGCTTAAACTATCTACACATTCGATGCTCATTCATATGAGCTTAAACTATCTATATGGCTCCTTGACACGAGCATAAAATGTCTTCATATCAAGATCTCCTTGACACGAGAATAAAAGGTCTACATATCAAACTTGAAGGCTCCTTGACACGAGCATAAAATGTCTACATATCAAGATCTCCTTGACACGAGAATAAAAGGTCTACATATCAAACTTGAAGGCTCCTTGACACGAGAATAAAATATCTACATATCAAGATCTCCTTGACACGAGAATAAACGGTCTACATGTAAAATTTGAAGGCTCCTTGACACGAGCATAAAATTTCTACAAACTTGAAGGCTCCTTGACACGAGCATAAAATGTCTACAAAATTGAAGACTCCTTGATACGAGTATAAACTATCTGTCAAATCAAATCAAGACTCCTTAATACGAGTTTAAACTATCTACAAATTATGTCAAATGAAGAACTCCTTGGTATGAGTATAAACTATCTACAAATCAAGCCATATGAAGAACTCCTTGATACGAGTATAAACTATCTACAAATTAAGTCAAATGAAGAACTCCTTGATACGAGTTTAAACTATTTACAAATTCAAGTCGAAAACTCCTAGATAAGAGTTTAAACTATCTGCATGTCCAAACCAAATCTAAAATTTTGAGACTCGTTCACTACCAAGACATTTTGTCCGTGAACAAGTCTCAAATGGGCATTTGTAGACATCGAAATTTTAATATTTTATTAATTAATGTCTTTATTTATTTTTGGGACATAAATCCAAGATAAGTAAGAAATTTAATTAATAAAGTAATTGTTTCTTGTCCACCAAGTCAAATCTTAGGATAAGGAAAGAGATTATATCAAATTTTAGGATAAGGAAAGCGATTATATCAAATCAAGAAGGATCAATCAAATTGATGTATTCTTTTCCAAGACTCTTTTTCCTACACCTATAAATAGGGCTCTCCTCAATCCCAAATATCACACCTCAAACACCTCAAACACCTCAAAAATATCAAACACATCTCAAAAATCAAAGTCTCAAATTCAAGCGCTCTCAAGAATCCTCTTGAAGATTTGAAGAAGTTCTTGAAGAACCGTCCGAGGTCCGTTCAATGAAGAAGAAGGCCAAGAAGAAGAAAAAAAGGCGGCGACTCTTCCTCAAGAAGTAAAGAGATGACTTTCACGCTTCTCAAGTCAATCCAAGAATATCAATGACGTTCAAGCGACATTCAAGCCGCGTTCGTTGAGAAGTTCAACCAACATACCGTTTGATCCGGGAAAAAGCTATCAAGCCCCCGAATCAACGTTATTCAAGTCAGAGTCCCTCTTTCAAGAAGATCAAAGAATCAAGTCTTCCAAGAAGTCATATTCAATCAAGTCAAGGCTAACATTTAATACGGGGATAAGTCATTCGACCCCCAAATTAATGTTACAGAAATTCAAGACCAAGCGTGAAGGAGATTCATCCATCTTTGAAGGCCTCAGTCCCAAATTCATGAAAAGAAGAATCAGAGGAGATAAATAGAGATTGTACCCGCATATCATTTGATCGAAATATATTCAAGTTGTACATAAAGTTTTATGTCTTTCATAAAATTTGTTGTTACAGTTACAATTATGGAGATTTAACAAATATATGTACCAATAACCCAACCAAACAATCTCTTGTTGTATTGAACCGAATAAATGAAATTAAAGTGCGAATTATAATATTAAATGTGTGTTGTTCATATATTGTATATCAACTTTTAGTATCATATAGTAACAACAATTAAATTTAACTTAATTATAAATTTAATAACACTTATTCTACAATTAATATTTTTATTATTTTGAAAAAAATGTATGTATACTACATTTGTTGATATTTTTCTTAATCTTATTCGATTTTATACTTAAAATGATTTGACAAGTTAAATAGATACGTTTAAAAAAATAATCATATTACACTTTGTTTGTAATTCAACCTTCCATCATTGGTTGAAAAAACTAAATAGTGGGTTACATAATAGAATATTGTGGTTAGATATTGATGAATGTTGTTTTTTTTTTAAAAAAAAATCATAATTTAAATATGTAAACATATCGTCATTCAATTTTTTTTTTAAATAATTAAAATATTATATAGCTCCAACGCGAATGAAACTGTTCCGATAATCTCGAATGAAAAATGCTACATGTACATAAAGGTGTACATAACACTCACATGGAGTATGGTTCACTTGATTTTATATTTTTAGTAGGTCCCACTCAATGTGAGTGTTATGTACACTCTTATGTACACTATTATGT